CTTCTGTTTCAATGCTTGTGATTTCCAATTTTGAAATATCAGATAAAGTTTCTTTGACAGAAATTGGAGTTAAAAGTAATATAACTTGTTTAATATGATAAATCTCATGATGTTGAGTTTCAAAATGAGCTCTCATAGTGTTGATTAAGAAAGTATCAAAAAATTCTGAGCGATGTTTACATTTAATTTTCCCAGAATCATAAATATGATAATTATCTGTGATAGTTTTCTTTTCTTGATTCATATTTGAATTATATACAAAAAAATCTATTTGGTCAATTAACTAGATAGAAATAATTAATAAAATAAATAAACATAATAAACTAATTCTTATTTAATATAATAATATCTGCAATAACATTAAGATAAAAAACAGTTTCAATATATTCCAATAAATCATCTTTTGATAATTTTCTAATTTCTTGTTTGATCTCTACTATTTTTTGAATATTTTCTCGAAATATTTCTGTATAACGAGGTTGACCATCTATCAAAATATTAAATATTAATTTGAAGATCAATTCGACTAATGATTGAAATTTTTTTAAACTCATCAAGTTCATCATCACAATCTAAATTGTAAAGTATTGTTTGATAGATTGTAGAAAAAAGAAGCTTCTTTATTTGATTATTTTCAAGAGTTTTTTTTAGTTCTTCATTTAAATCCATCTTGAATTACATATTAAACAATCTACTTGGTTAATAACTAAGTAGATAAATATAATTTAAAGAAAAATAATAAAAAATTGTTTCATAATTATAAAAAAATAAAATAATTTAAGAAATAATGTTATTAACAATAATAATGTTATCAGAAATTACATTTCTATAAATAACTTTATCTAAATATTCTATAATATCATCTTTAGATAATTCTGTTATAAATTGCTTGATTTTCATAAGCTTCTCTAGATTTTAATTACATCTTTTTGAAAAAAAGTATTTCTTGCAATTTGACATTCGATAGTGATATTTATTTGGTTAATTAATAAAGCTCTTTGTATTTCATTAAGCTCTACATCACGATTTAAACTGTATAAAACAGTTTGATAAATCGACAAAAAAAGAGCCTTCTTTCTTTTATTATTTTCTATCAATTCCTTTAATGTAAATTCTTCACAATTTTCATTTAAAAGATTTGATGAACTTGATGAATTGTTATAATTCATTTTTAATATTTACTGAATTGAAAAAATATTCAGTTTATTAAACTGAATATTTGTTAAGATATGATGTTACTTATAAAAGTTGCTCAAAAAGACTCTCATAGGAGCTGAAATCACAATTCTTTTTACATTGGGAAAATTTAAGACAATCTTTACATAAAACATTTTCATTCTTGAACATGATATATTCATTATAAATCACATCAATACCAGTTTGGTAAAAATCGTAAAGATCTCTTAAATATTGAATAAGACATTTTTTGCTTTTTCTATTTTGTCTTTTTTTATGATCAATTGTAGTTTCAAGAGAAGGATTCACAAAAATGACCTTGTAAGGAGTAAGAGATTCAATCTCATTAACTTTTCTGTCGATATAATCCTTTTCATATTTATCAACTAGAAATTTATTGAATATCTTAACATCCTCGTATCTATGATCCTCAATAATATAATCATAATCCAAATATTTAGTGAGTTAAGCTCTTTTTTCGTAGAAATTTGTTATTACACTTTGGAAAAAAACAATTTTTTTCCTTATTTTTATAAAACAGATTAAGTTCTTCAGATAGTTCGAGAGAAGCTTCATTGAACAGAAAGACTGAATATCCTCTTTGTTTCAAAAAATGATAGAATAAATTTGCCACAAATGTTTTTCCTGCACCAATAGTTTCTGTAAATACAATTATTTTTTTTTTCTTCTTGGATGTTAAAAACATACAAAAGAAAACAAATAATATAAAAAATAAAATAAGAGCCACAGCTTCAATTGGTATAGATCGAATCATTTTTACACAAATAAAAATCTATTTGGTCATATAACTAAATAGATCATTAAATTAACCTTCGAAATTAAGATAACTATCATCATTTATTAGATTATCATAATTTAACATTATAAATTTATGACTAAGAGAAATAAGATTTCAACAATCTAACTTTTCTAGTAACCTATATAAATCTGAAGGAACTTGTGATGAATAAACCTTTATTATATAATTAGAAAGTATAATCTCCCAAAAATTTAATTCTTTTTTTGACAACAAATAAATATATGTTTTGATAAGAGAACTGGTAGAACTCTAATCATTAATTTTTGAATAGAGTGTATAATATAAAATATCTTAGTTTGTTTCTAAAATAATTTCTTTTTCTTTAAGTCTTGCAAAGAAATAGGTTTCAAATTCTTGTTTGAAAAATTTGGATATCAATCTTAAATTATCGATATGTTTTTTGGTATCTATATTCTTGGATATGTTTCTACAAGTGTTATAAAAAACGGATTCATATGCTGATTTAAAAAATAATATAATAATCTCATTAGGAATCAACATTTTTTGAACAGAAAAAAATCTGTTCAGTTATAAACTGAACAGATAATATTTATTTAAAAACATATCCTAACCTAGAATGACCTATAAACATTATTTGAGCAACCAATGACAATTTTTAATAATTAATTCATATACTTCTTGGTAGATCTTATTAGATGCTGAGTAAAATTGATATTCTTCTTTCATTTTTACTAATTCAGGATCTAATTTACGATTAATAATTCTCATAATTTTCTCTTTGGAAGTTTTGAATTCATTTTTGTAATGTTTGAAATCGAATTCTTCCAATTCTTTCAATTGGATTTTCAATGCTATTTTCATATATGAGGTGCAATGATTATTATTACCATTGATAGCATTTACATAGCTATGGAAAGTTGATAAAAGACCATTCAATTTTGCGAGTTCTTGAGTTTGTTCATCAAATAATTTTGACATTGTATGTAAGTCAATTGTTTTAAAGGTTATGAAAAGAAAAATCTGTTTGGTATTAAACTAAACAGATACTAGTAAGGAGAAAATTGTGAAAATTTATTTACATTATTTTTTTTGATAACTATCCTACCAATAGAAACATTTTCTCCTAATAAACTAACAATATTAAATCTGTCAGCTTTATAATCAACTAACTTTATATAATCATCATTATCTGATTTGTAAAACTCCTTAATAATTTCTACAAACTGATCTTTATTACAAAATTTGATATTTCTTTTTGATATATGTGCCCATTGTTTTGCTTTAAGAGTTGCAAACTTTCCTTTTTCTTTTAACTTTTCACTGTTATACATGATGATTCCAAGAGAATCAGATGCAAATCTTGAAATAGCTGATTCAAAAACTCGCACAATTTGGACAGGTATAGGTGTCTCAGTGTTTTTACATTGAATAAAAATAAGTTTTTGCTTATATGTTATGATAATATCGATACTATGATCTCCACGATTCACTTTAACATCAAAAGCTAATAATCCAAAATTTTCAGCTATTTTTTAAATAATTAGTTCGAAATCATGACCAGATTGATAGTTTGTTATCTGAAATAATAAAACATGAGTATGAGAATTCTCTTTACCAGTGTTTGCAGTACTAGCATCTCGAAGATATAACTTCAATTCTGATATTAGTTTCTCACAAAATAATAAAATACATCCTCAGCATATATAAGTATGCATTCAGAATATACTTCTATTTTGCTATGGCAGCATAATTCGAATTCACAAATACAAAGTAAAATGGCATAGCCAACTTACTTTTTTTTCTTTTTCGACAGTAGTCATTTTTAGCTTATATAGTTAAAAATCTAACTGGTTATTAAACTAGTTGGATGGTTTATTTAATAAATAAGAATATAACAAAAATAAAAAAATAATAATAAAATAAAATAAACTATTGAAGTAGAGATGGGGATGATGTAGTATATTCAGGTTCATTGAGTTCCTCAGGATCTATTTTAACTTGTTTTTGAGATTCATGATTAATCTCAATCTTGCGTTTTCTATGATTTCTGAATTTTGAATTAATGGCCTCAATTATTGCTGATTCTTTGAGTCTTAAAGAATCAGTAACTTTGAGATTTTTAAACTCGTTGATAGTATATGCCTCCCATGCAGAATTCCTGTCAGGTTCTGTTAGTTGTGGAATTTCATCAGTAATAGTTAAATAGATCGCAGTTTTGAACATGATTTCACAATCTGGACAGTCAGGAAATATACGAAATCCTTCATTATAAGCAATAAAATGGAAATCTTTCAAATCTAATTTGGTCTCTTCAAATACTTCTCGCTTGACACAATCAACAAATGATTCATATAGTTCTAAACTACCTCCTGCTACTTGATAATACATATAATAATCTTTACTAGGATAATTCTATAACTCATCCAAATTTTCTTTTCAGAATTAACTATCAAACATAATGTGTAGTATCGACATTCTCCTTCATATTGATCAATTATTTTCTTGTTTATTTGCATCAAATTAGTTTGTTCAGTGAGCTTGACTTTAATCTCATTATCAATCTGATCCTTGTTTATAGAAATACCATTACTATACATGCTTGCAACAGAATTAAGCCAAGATAAACATGATGAAAAAGATGATAGGGAGGCTGAATATTGACTCTTTGCGGTGTTGTATTTTTCAGACATTGTTAAGATGTTTAATAAAGAGTATTACACAGAAAAAAATTTAATCAGTTATAAAACTAATTAAAGAGAATTATATTTGGAACTTAAAGAATCATCTATCCTAAGTTCACTATCACTAAAATATAATTTGTCATTTAGAACAATACCATTCTGGTTTATTATATAAGTGAAATTGTCTTGTTCTATAAAATCATCTGCATCAGTTTCATAATATGTGTTTGAAGAATGTAATGAAACTTGAAACTCTTGTGAAAGAGATTCTGAATCAAAATCCTTAGGTTCTATTAATTGGTTTTTACATTTAGTGCATTCTTTATCTGAATAGAAATTAGTGCATTTCTCACAATAATATAAAAATTCTGGAAAAATCTTGTTTTTACAATTATTACATTGTTTTCGTAAATGGAAATAGTTGCATTTCTCACAAAAATATTTGTTGATTTTTGGTTTCAATTTTGGTTTTGGTTTTAGTTTTCGATATGATATATTATAATTTGGACGTATTAAATTTTGAATTCGAGCACTACGTCTAACTGTTATTTCAATACCATCATATATTATATTTTCAGTATTATAGTTTCGTGTTGAAGCCATTTTACCTATTTAAAAATCTATTCGGTAATTACTGAATAGATCCATTTATTTGATAATAATATTTGATAAATATAAATTAATATAAAAATGAAATTAATCCTTTTGCTTCTTAGAAGCATGTTTCTTTTTCTTATTTTCTACTTCTTCTTCACTTTCTTCTTCATCATCAGTAGTATCTTGTCTTCTTTTACTCACTTTAACTCCTAATTCAAGCTTGGATAAATGCTCAAAATATGCATCTATTACATAATCACATTCTTGTTGTGCTTCAAATTTAGGGCTACATAAAATCTTTTCTTTACAATTCTTGGCTCTTTTATAATTTGAATCATTCCTGTCATGAACAGAATTCAAATTAAATTCTATCTCAGTCATCATATCACATCTAAGTTGACAAAATTCTTTAAGTTTTATTAAAAAGATTGATTTTTCTCTTGGATCATCTTTACAAATTTTGTCCAAGCAAGTTTTAAATACATGTTCACTAAGATCTTGATTTTTATCAAAAATCAAATTTTCTTTATAATCTTTTGGTAATTCTTGTTCAGGTTGGAGAGGTAATTGTTGAGACATTGTCAATAATGTTTTTTAATTACATAAAAAAATCTAGTTGGTCATAGACTAATTAGATATATTTATTTAATAAATAAAATTAAATAATAAATGATTGAAAATATTGAAAATTAAAATAATTTAATATAAATAAAATTAAAATAATAATGATTATCCTGTAATAACGTTAATATGTTATACTAAGTATCTTCTTAAACACTTGAATTAAAATCATATCGACAACTTCAGATAATGTTAATTTGGTTGTATTAATTTCATATGAGACATTATATGCTTGTTTAATTAATGATTGAGATAATACATCTCGTTCTAAAATATTGTTGAAAATATTAGTATAATCTTTTAAATTTGTTTGAAAAGCACAGCGAGCTATACGAGTCTCCATATCTGCTGATAAAATTATTTTTACTTCAGCATCAGATAAACAGAGAGTGGTGATATCATAATCAACTACAACAAATTCTTTGCTTTTGACTATTTTTCTAATAGTTTCATTTATAATATCACGTAATTCATTATTTACTGATATCTGAGCTGCTCTAATTCCTGATTTCTGATATTGTTCTTTATTAAGATATTTGATAGAATTAATCAATTTCAATATCTGTTCTTCATCAAAGATTTGCTTGATTTGGTCAATTGAGTAATCATTATGGTAATAACCAATATATCGATAAAATAACCCAGAATCAATAAACTGATAACCATATTGATTTGCAATTGCTTCTCCAACTGATGTTTTTCCAACTGCTGCATATCTGTCAATTGTGATGTTAATAAGTTTATTAGTATTAAAATTTTGAAATATTGTATGAAGTAATTCCATCTTTTGGGGTTATGTAAAAAAAAATCTACTTGGTTTCAAACTAAGTAGATGAATTTATTAGATTTTAAAATTAACAAGATAGACAATTGTAAACAAATTATTGATTTTTATTTCAGAATCGATATTAGTAAAATCATAATAAGAATATAAAAGAAATTGGTTAAATAAACATTTGTAAGTATTATGAAATTTTTGAGCAGCAATGCATAGAAGACTCTCCAATTTGAAATATTGTTTTTCTAATTCCTTTAAATCTTTATAGTATTGAACATAAATGTTAACTAATTTAACTGCATTATTAGTTATTTTCATCTTCTTCCAAAAGAATTTTTAATAGTGGTTTAAAAGGATTAGTAAGAGCAATGGGTTGTAAAAAATTTTTTGTCTCAACAGAAATCCAGAACAATGTCTCCAACTGATATTTGTTTGTGATAAATTTTGGATAAAATAAAAGTAATAGATCAAACAAAAAAGTGTATTTATTACAGAATTCTTGTGTTTTCGAATAATCAAAATTATTCAAACAAAAGTTTTTACTTTGACTTGTTTTATTCAGAAGAAAATCGTAATAATAATTTTGTATATTGAAATAATCTTTAGTAAACTGATGTTTAAATTGAAGTACTTGAATATCCATTTACACAATTTAATTACTTTAGCATTAGTTAGATAAATAAGAATTACGTAATTAAAATTCTAACTGGTGCTAATGTAGTAGTTAGAAGTATTTATTAAATAATAAAATAATTTTTTATAAGATATCAATCTAAATATTGATAATAAGTTTGAGAATAATGAGAAGGAATATGATCATATGAATTACATTTAAAACAATACATTCGATTAATAGGTTCATTAAGATAGAAAAGTTGAGTTTCGTTTTCATTTATAAACAAAAAAACTTTATTACCAAATATCTTGCTTTTATATTGATGAGAAACATTGTCCAAATCATTTGTAAAGTATCTACATTTTGCGAATTGACATGGATGCCCATTTTTATACTGTGTTGAATATGTGAGCCTACAAATGAACTTACAATTATACTGTTCTAATACCTGTTTACAAGCTACACAACAAGTATGAGAATAGCCTATTCTTTTACAATTCTGACATTTTCCTCCATTAAGAGGATATTTGTAATCAGTAAATGTTTTCACAGAATCAAGTTCATTTAACTTTTTAATAAAAATATTGGTTATAGATGAAATTTATCTGAAACGATCATTTAATGTATCTGATAAATGTTGTCTTGTGTTTGTAACAACCATTGTAGAATGTTCAGAATGATTATAGAATGGAACTGAAGGACATTGTTGAGTGTTTTCAATTAAACGTTGATTTGTTTTAATAAAATCAATAAAATATTTTAAAAATAATTCGAAAAGTTTAATAAAAATAGAATTGATTGATTGATACATTTTTGATAATACAATGATTAAATCAAAGTTATATAAGAAAAAATTTACTTGGTCTTAGACTGAGTAGATGGTGATTGTGGAATATATATAGGAGATTCAGGACTATACTTGGGAGATTGGAGTTCATATTCATCAAATATTTGTAATCGAGAATCAATCGAAGTTATAATCTCAGAAATAATTTCATTCTCTGTTTTTTCACTTTTGAAATTGTTTTTTTCTTGTTTATCTTTCCTATCAATTTTCTTTTTTGATTGTTTTTTGCTTTTGAAATTGTTTTTAACTTGTTTCTTTTTACCTTTCCTATTAACATATTTTTTGAAATCATCTAATAGTTTCACTTCATTCTTGTAAATTTGCATACCTGTATGATCAAAACTTTTGATCCAAAACCAAATCTCATAATCTGGTTTATACCTGGATAGTAACTTTTTCATTCACATTAATGATCCTTTAGAATTAACACGAACTAACTTTTCTGAATAATTTAAATTTTTGTCAACACTCTGAAGAAGCTTAAAATAATTACATCGCATTCTAAAAGGACAATAATTATTTTTATGATCATGAGGATCTTATTGCCAAAGATGTTCATAAAATTCATGATTCTTTTTACATTTACAAATAAAATAATCTTTTAATTTTACTTCTATTACATGTTTAAGAAGATCAAAATCTTCTTTTGGTTTATGTTGTTTGTAGATACGAACATAAGAATGGTCAAAATCGATGTTGCGCCAAGATATGCTATTTTGAATCACAAATGATTCACTCATAATCTTGTATTTTATTGAAGAGAAACATTCAAAATGTGTGATTACATCTTTATTCATTTTTAAAGTAATTATTTTTTAATTACTTTTGAATATCTGAAGCTGAACTTAGTGATATTTGGGCGAATCATTATGATTCTGAAGTCTAAGTAGAGTGAATTTTTCAGTTTTTTATAGATGTTTTGGAGAGGAAGAAAAAAAAACTAAGTTTTTTAATTTTATCTTGTAGATATTAATTGATTAATATAAATGCTAAATTCATATTTTCTAATTTAGAATCTAGTTTATTTATCAGTAATTTGTACTAAACAAGAATCCAAATCAGTAATTTTATAAATTTGGATTGGTCATCTATCAATATTTAATTTTCTTTTATGTATAAACATTGATCACAAGAATTCAAACATCAAACCTTAAATTGTTATCTATGATTTCAATTGGTTCCTCATGTTTCCTTTTTAGATAATTATTAATTAGAAATTTCTTTATATCGAAATTTGAACATTGTGTCTAAATCAGTAAATCTGATTTAGAAATTCGATCATATCAAATAATATAACCAAATTCATAATTTCTGATATAGAAATTATTAAAATTGTTTTATTCTAATTAGTAAATATACTGATTAGTAAAAAATAAATCAGTATTTTATAACGATTACGAAATAAAAATTGATTACATATTCCAAATTCAATATTATAAATTAATTATAAAAAAGGATTATTAAAAATAAATTGACAACTCAAAATGAGAAACACTCATGAAATTCGAAATTATTTTCACAATAATTCTTCTAGAATGAGAATTATTTGTAATATCTGTGAAGCATCTTATCCAATCGAAACTAATCTCTCTAATTTAAAAAACATTTCGCTGCTCATCATAAACAAAAATATTATGAAGCTATGGATAAAGAAGAAGAATGAAGAAATAAAATTAAAGAACTTAATCAACTGAATGAAAGGGCATGAATTATTTAAAAAAATATAAACAAAAAAAATACTTTAATTACTCAAAATAATACTCAAGAAATTTTACCATATGATGGTAATAAATATCATGTGACTGTTCAAGATGAAGTCAATAATGAGACTATAAATGAAATCGAAGAAATTATCGAAACTGGTCAAGCTTTGATGCCAATTAAAAGAAAAATTAACGAAACTGAAGAAATTGAAAATTCTAAAAAACAAAAACAGAAAAAATTTATTAATATAATCGATAATATTGAATTAGATAAAGATAGTAATATTAATATTAGTATTGATAATTCTATTAATATTTCTGGCAAATGTAAAATTTTTTTTAAATAATAAAATATTTAATAATAAATTTTATTTAATTTAAACAAAATAACCATTTCAATTTCCAGTTTTTTTATCATGATACAATTTAAAATCTATTGTTAAATGTTTTGCTTGTTCACTAGTTCTATTTTTTGTAATTCTAAACTATTTAGCTTTATATTTATTATTTTCACATCATCGAAATCCCTAACTATTTAAAACTTTGTTATAATAAATTCCATTAAATTCTGATGTATTATTTCTTTTTAATTTACAATTTAATTGGTTTTCTTTTGGTGTTGTTTCTCGTAAATTACATTCACAATTATCAAGCCCATTTCTGTTAATGTGATCTTCATCTTCCATTCAGGATGAATCAATCAATGAATATATAAAGTTTTTCCTTTATCATTTGTTCTAATATAATGTATATTTTGTATTTTGGTTTTATGACAGCGCCAAGTATAATTTTGTAAAAGATGAAAATTCTTGATATCGATGAAGAACATGATGTTTGGTTTTTGAGTTTTCACTTGATAGTATAGTTTGTAATCAATCATAACACATCTGTACTCATTTAACTTATGTTTCAGTTTATTAGAATTCGTAACTTTGATCCAATTAATAGCATGTTCAAAATTCTTGAATTTCTCTGATGATATTTTTTAATAAAATAAATATAACATTCAGCTATTTATATATAAAAAACATATTCATGATAGTCAAACTATTCGATTTTCTACTCTAAAACATATTCATTAGAGTCAAACTATTTGAATTTCTAGCCCAAAACATATTCATCAGAGTCAAATTATTCGAATTTCTATCCCAAAACATATTCGTCAGAGTCAAACTATTCAAATTTCTACCCCAAAACATATTCGTAAGAGTCAAACTATTCAAATTTTTACCCTAAACCATATTCGTCAGAGTCAAATTATTCGATTTTCTACCGAAAACATATTCGTGATTGTGATTCCTGATTGGTCAAGAGTCAAACTATTCGAATTTCTGCTCCAAAACATATTCGTCAGAGTCAAACTATTCAAATTTCTACCTAAAACATATTCGTCAGAGTCAAATTATTCGATTTTCTACTGAAAACATATTCGTAATTGTGATTCCTGATTGGTCAAGAGTCAAACTATTCGAATTTCTACCGAAAACATATTCACAGTTATAATTTTTGATTGAAATAATATCGAATCTTCTTTAAAAAAATTTGAACAGTTTTTAGAAAAATCCGAGTCAATTGGAGTTTCATCCAATCATGTTTCATAATATTAAATCTCTTTTGGAAAATCTGAGTTGATTGGAGTTTTATCCAATTATGTTGCATTATATCAGTAGTCCATTAGTTAGTCTATTGGTTAGGTTTTGCGGAACTAGTCTATTAGTTAGTCCATTGGTTGTTTTGTAGAACCAGTTCATTAATTAGTCTATTGGTAAGGTTTTGTGAAACCAGTCCATTAGTTAGTCTATTGGTTAGGTTTTGTAGAACCTTCTAGTTATATAAATTGATATTAATTTAAATTTTATTTAAGTAAATTATTAATTAAAACCTTTTATATATCGAATCAGTTACCAAATCAGTAAATCTAATTTTGGAAATTCATTCTTAATCAGTAATTTTGATATGAAAATTTACGTAATATGCATAATTTCTGATATGGAAATTTATGTAATATATTTTTGTATCAAAATAATATAAAATTCTATTTAAATAAGATAAAAAAGTAAAAGAAAAATAAAAATGAACCTTCCTAAATTTTTAAACGAAATTGTTTTAAATGTGATAAAATTTTTGTGTGATGATATTCTCAAAGATATCACAAAATATTTTTATTATTACTATGAAATCACATATCATCAACATCCAAAAAAAATATGTGATAAACTAAGATTAGTGAATAAATGGTTCAGTAGTCTTTTTGAAAACGAATTTTTGATACAAATGAGAAAAAGAGATAATAATATTCATTTGAGTGATTATCAAATTTTACTAATTTTAGATAAATTATTATGTATAGATATTCAAAAATATAAGAATTGTATGAATCTTTTTAAAAAAAGATATTTAAATTTATGGGAAAAGATTATTTTGAATATCTGCACTGTTAAAAACAATAATATCATAACTAATTTTGTAATTAATCTTGGTTGTTTTCAATATTTTAATCTATATTATCATAGTGATTTTAGTTATAGTGAAGTCTGTAAATGTGTAATCCTTTAAAAAATAACTTTTAAAAAATTAAAAGATGGAAACTTTTGGTTTTTTTCTTGTCATCATTGTAAATTTTACAAGTGTATAATAAGTTACAAATAGTATCTCATAAATTAATAAAATTAATTTTTCTATATAAAGGAAGCATGTTTGCAAAAAAAATAAATAAGCATAACAATAACTAAAAATGTCAACCTATGAAAAGCTATTTTCAGTTTCTCATACTTTTTCGATACCTCAGAGTGGTTCGATAACTCAACATAACCAGTTTACATTCATGTTTGAAAAATACAGAAAAATTATCATGAAGATTAATAAAAATAATTCACCAATAAAAATTAGTGCTGCTGAAGATAACGGATACTCCTTTGTGCTTGTTGCTGCTGGAACTACAATCAAACAAGAAGATTCTAATGTAATCTGCTTTGATAACAACATCTTAGAATTCAAGATTTTTCATTACGAAAAATTAATTTATAATAATAAGGATTTTAATAATTACTTTTCAGGATAAATATTCATAGCATGTTTTTTATTTAAAGATGAATTGTCTTAAGAATTTTTCATTAAATTTATTAAATAAAATAAATTTACAACTTAATTCAAACAAAACTATTTACAAAATGTTTTTATTCAAAAAAATTATAAACTTTATTAAATGTGGTCATAAAAAAACAAATATATTCGATAAAAGTATTTACAAATAGAATTATTCAACTTCGTCAGTAATCGATAAAGAAGTTTTTGAAACTGCCTTACCAATTCCTGAAGAAGATGAACAATTCGAAATAGAAATAGAACATGAAATTTTAAAACAAAATAAAAATGATTACAAAGTATTTACAAGTTATGAATTATTCAGAGAACATTTATTTCAAAATAATATAATCACATCTTTATATATTAACTATGATACAAAAGAAAAAAAACTAATTAATCATATTTCATGCGCTGAGTATCATATAAGAGCACATTTTAATAATTGGGGAAAAGGTTTATATTATTATGTAATGAATGATAGTATGGACCTTTTGGAATTACGAACAAAAGAGTATAAAGAATTAATTAAGTTTTGTTTTGAAATTATAAATAAAAAATGTGAAAAATATAATATAATGTATCTATGGACTTGGTTTAATTTAGAAGAATATGCTGAAAATTATTTTGTATATTAAAAATATTGTATATAATAATAATTGTAAATAAATTAAAAAGATCGGATTTGTTTGAAATTACTAATTTTTAATAAAGTTGTATTTATTGTTCAAAGCTTAGTTTCATGTTATCAGCTTCTCACAAATAAAATTAAGCTTTAGAGCTTTTATTTCTAATTGTCGAAAAAAAAACTAATTAAAAAAGAAAGCATCTTATTTTCTTAAGATGCACCGATAAATTATCTATAGCAGTTCTGGTAAATAGAACTGCTCGTCAAGACATACAATATGCAACATATAAATTATAACAATATCCAACTTGATAAACTAATAGCTACGCTTGTAAAATTCGATATAAGTAGGGAATAAAAATTTTACCATGATCTACAATGTTTGTAAAGTTTGATATACATAGATGAATAAAAATTTCACCATGTTCTACATTTGTAAAGTTTAATATATGTAGATCATGTTATTATTTTAAAGTATTGGTAAATACCAATACTACATATTTGCCAAGAACAGCATTAATTATATGATTGCTAAGATAGCAATCATGAAATAAATCGTTCTGGGAAATTTTCGTAAATAAAGTTCCAATATTGTAGAGAAATTATTAAAACTGTTACAAAAATTACTATTAGATAGATAGTAATTGCCCAAACCCAGAAAAATACTCATGAATATACAATTTTAATAATATATTGGTAAATATTATCTTTATATTCACCATAGAAGAGGTTTGTTAAAAACAAACCAAAGATAACTAAAATTACGATTGAAGTGTAAAAGACTTTAGAAATCATTTTTATAAATTTGTATTATTTATTGAAAGTTTTGATTGAAGGTAGTATTGATTAAAGTTGTAAAACGAATAAATCGTAGAGAACAGAAGGATGTCTTGTCACAATTTTTATAGATGTTTGCTGCAAATATAAAATCATCGTCAAGATATGCAATATGCAACTTAAGAATAGTAAACACAATGAATCGATTATGTTTATAATGTAACAAGTTAAAGGTCTTATCTATAACCAATTAAATTTAAACAAGGGTCCTAAAATTAAGGTTTAGTATTAAAATGCCATATATAGTAATCACCAATAAATTGAATGAATGCATTTTTGATTTGGATTCATTCAAATGCTGATAAGCTGTAGATTAGATAATCCTAATATATTAATTAGCTTTAGTAATCAATTACCTGATACAGATTCTTTCATATGCAGATAAACTGCATATAAACAAATCTGTATCAGGTAATTGATCCTACTGATAAAAAAATTATATAATTTTTATTTTACTCTATATAAATAAATTCAAATAAAAACTAGAAGTTTCTTAATAAATATATTTTTATATATAAAAAGTAAATATATCGTAACCTTTTAGTAATAAGAAAAATATAAAAACAAGAGAGTAAGTATATGTAATGTACTTTAAAAATGAAAATAAAAACTAAAAAAAAATATCGTAATAAAAAAATATATCAAACAAAAACTGAAATGTCAAAATCTGAAACTATCTCTTTAAAAAAACCTGCTGAAGAAGGTAGACGTATTTTCAGAAACAAAATCGATGGAGTAAGAATCGTATTTGAAAAATGGCAAACTGGAAATATTCAGGTACTATTTATCAAAGATAATAAGATTGTAGATGTTCCAAAAGGTTATAAATTTTAATACTCCTATGGTGACAAATATGAAGATAAAGATAAAGATGCTAATATCGATGGAACTATTTGTTATATACTTTCACATGATCTTTACAACTATAAAATATTTTATAATGATACAGTCATATTCAATTTTTATAACATGATGCAATTTTCTATCTGGAAAGATAAAAATATTTTTGGTTATAATCGTAAAAAAAATAAAACAGTCTTTAGAAACATTGATAAAATTTTAAAAATGAAGGAAGAAGAATGAGAAAAGGAAAGTGACAATGATGATGATAATGATGATAATCCAATTAAATTAGATTAATTTTATTCTATTTATTTTGTTTTTTTTTTATTTATTAAATTTATATAATTTAAATTTATTTTTATTTTTATTTATCTATATTAAATAAATATATAATTATTAAATATTTAAATGCATAAAATTTGTCATAAAAAGTATAAATTAAACCTTCTGTTCGAGTGAAAATATTTCTTATCTATAAATTTATAAATTATTTTTACTAATCATATTTGTAAAATAAATTCTAGAAAAAAAATTCAAAACAAATTTACAAATCAGTAATTGACTGTTTTGCTAATATTACCAAAAGAGTTAATTACTGATTTGGTTAAAAAAAAAGGAATTATCTAATTAATAATTGTCTAAAAAAAGAAATTTAAGTTAACGATATGAACCAATTAAGATTTTTAAGAATGATTTAAGGTTTTGTTTATCATTAATTCGAATTCTCGTGACTTACTTTAAAGAAAATTATGAATTTGATTTATAACCAATCGAAATTAAAAATTAACAAATTAATTCTTTTATAAAGAAAGTGTTTATTTCAACAAGATTTAGTAATTTCAACTGAAAATATGCTGAAAAACATACAACAACTCACATTTATCCCAGAAACAGTCACTAAATATCCTTATTCAGTTCCAAAAGAGAAAAAAACTAATAAATTTGTCAGTCTTGAAAAATATAATAAAGAGAAAAAACATCGTAGAAATGAAAAGAAAGAATATGATCAAAAAACTAAAGAGATCAAAGAAGCATCTCTTCACATTATTAATAATCTGCAAAAGGTTATTGTTGAAAAAGATAATAATATTACGAAATTACAAAATGTTATTAATGAAAAAAATATTTTTTTAAATGAGTTGCTTGAGGAGCTCAAATGGTATGAAGGTTTTTATGGTCCAAGCTTTAGATATGCCAGATAGGTCTTCGATAACAGGACCAATGAAGTTAACATCATTAATAAAATTAATAAAGTTGATGAAGCTAATGAAGCTCAAGTTTATGAAGATAATATTTCAGAGAATGACAAAAAAGTTTTTGAAGACAATGAAGATAAATACAATTTCGATTCAATTTATATAGATCAGATGATGAAAATGAATATAATCCTTATAAATTTCTTGAAGACGATAAAGCTAAATATGATTCTAATGAGCTTCTCAATTTTTAAAGTTTTTGTTTCTAAAAATAGATTATCTAAAAATAAATATTCGTAATTTTTGGTATTTTTTTTTTAATAAATTTTATAATTAAAAACAAATATAAAAAGACTTAAATTTGCCCTTGATCATTTTTTTTCTTAAAAAAAAAAAAATGTCACATCAAAGATTTTTGCATATTATGTCAACTGTTTACTATTGCATTCCATGTTTGAAAAAA